GCTTTTTCCCCCCACACCAGGCTGTATGCTGCCAAATAAGTGTAGCTCAGGCAGGTTCTTCAGCCCACTGGACCAGCAGCAAGGCTGTGGTGTGCAAAGTTGCAGGGCATAGCTGGCCATGTCATAAGCACCCAGGCCTGAAAAAGGGAAAATACAAGATGTATACCATATGGCCTTATTACTGCAATTGAATTAGCCTCAATGGAGGTTAAGAGTTGAGGCTTTTCTTCCAACTCATATAATGAAAGGATAGTCCCCAAGCCAAGTGGATGACTAACAGGGCTTGGGTTGAAAAGTTCAAGTCCCATGCATACTGAGTAATGCATTCCTGTTCAAGTACAATTCCAAGCATTGGGAATGCCAATGAGGATGGGTCTCAGTAAGCTGGCTGGGGCATGGAAGAGCACCCAAGGCCTGGCCCCATTCCCCTGGGAAACTGCTGGCCATCAAGAACAATAAGATAGTATAACAAGTGAGGCACCTGGGGTTGCTATGGCTCTCACCCTTGCCCCTATTTCCTCACCTGCCACAGCTTGTTACTGGAAGATGAGGGGAGGCTATCTTTGGAGGTAGACAAGCTTAGGTGTCCTCCCTCCTTGCCTTAGTCTCTTGTTCCCTCTGGCCCCATTTGCCTTAAGGGCTAGAGTCATGGTCTCCTTTCCCCCTCCCCAGCCATACCCATGACTTGGGGATGTTACTCTGTGCCCCATTCTGTCCCTTGTAGAAGGATCAACCTTCTTAACTTTAGCTTCCCTTTCTTCTGGCTGCAGACCTCCAGTCCTAGCCCACTGATTGGGTGCAGCTTTCTTGGTTTTAGTCCTTTCTGTTCTCTGGGTTGCTTACTCTGGGCCAGCCTTTAGCCCCCAGGGTGCCAGATCTCAGGCTAGGGTACCCTCACTGTCTCTATCCTCAGACTTCTAGTTCCTTCCCTTGGACTGGGCTGCCTGCTTATCCAGTCCTCAGCCCTCTGGGCCTTGACCAGAGCCAGGCTGCTTGCCTCTCCAGCACTTAGATCCTTGACCGTGGGTAATCTACCTAATATTAAGTGCCGTACCAGACATGCCTCTTGACTTCCAGACCTCCCCTATAAGTCACAACCTAGTCCTCCAGTATACGGCTAAAGTTACAACATAAATATCAGACAATGCTCCTAACTAAAAGCATACCAAGCTGTAGGTTGCTGTCCTGCTCAGACCATCAGCTTCTCTTAGCTCCCCCAAGGCAGCTGTAAGGAACAATTTATGTTCCTGTTACTTCACTTGCTACAGGCATCCCTCCCAAGAGCTCTTCACCCCTCAACATACTAAGGCTGATTGCCTGCTCTAGTTCAGGCCCCAGGTTTATATACCTGGAAGCCACACCCACTTCAGTCATGTGCCTTCCCCACCTCTGCACAGGGTTTCCCAGGTCAATCAAGGGCCAGCCTGCCCTCCTGCAGCTGTGGCCCCTCAGCCTCTGCTGCATTTAAAGAGGCAGGAGCCTTCTAGCTTCCTGTCCTAGTTATCACTTTCCTTTATGCCCAAGTAATAGGGTCTAGGTTCCTCTGTTACAGAGACATCCAGGAAGGCCACCTCCTGTGGCTAAATAACTCAGGTGCTAGTCCCACAAGCACAACCTTCTGTTTCCAAAACCTTTGGCTACTTGGTCCTTGTGGAACATACCCTTTTTTTTTCTTCTATTCTTTGAAGCAAAACAAAAGCCATAGCTTATGAAGGGATAGAACCTGCTTTGGCTAGACTGAGGTACCTTTCTAAAGAGGCTATGGCATGTTTCTCATCACAAAGTAGACACAGCTCAGGCAGGCTCCTCAGCACACTGAGCCAGCAGCATAGCTCTGGGGTGTAATGTGGCGGGGCTCACCAGGCCATGTCATAGGAGCCAAGGCCTAAAATAGGAAACATATTAAGGTGTAACTAACACCTATTAATGCATATTACTGTGAGTGAATTAACCGTAATGCAGGGTGTGAGTTGAGGATCTTCTTTCAAGCCATGATGATGCAAGCATGGTTTCTGAGCCTATCGGATGAGTGGCTGTGCTTTGGGCTAGAGAACTGAAGGGCCAGGTGTGTTGGGTCATGCATTCCAGGCCCTGCTTCATACTGAGCATTGGGATAAGAATATGTCTTGGCAAATTGGCAAACTGTGGCCAGGGCATGGAGTAGCCCCTGACACCGTTCCACAGCGATGCTGCCAGCTACAAAGGAGGGAAGTGTGGATGCCTTAAACATTGCCTGCTTCTGTGTCTGAATGCCTTTGGGTGCTGATCTTTAAAGGTAAAGGTTCTGCGTTCCAGCTGTGGGGCTCTCCTGATCTGCTGGCACTCCTGAAGTGAGCCCACTATTTGAGGGTGCAAGTTGAAACTCTTCTTTCAAGCCTCAGTGACACAAGCATCAGTCCTCAGCCCATTGGATGAGTGGCAGGGCTTTGGGCTGGAAAGCTGAATTGGCAGGTATGTTGGATCATGAATTCTGGCTCATGCTTCATGGCAAGCATAGGGAAGGTGGATAAGGATGGGTCTCAGCAAACTATGTAATGCAGTGGTCTCCAACCTTTTTAAGTAGAAGGTCACCTCTGGCATTTAAAAGAAACCCAAAATGTACCATGCGCTGCCACCACCCTCTTCCCTCCCCCCCTCCAGCCCAGCAGGTTAATCTGTGGGGAGGGAGGAGGGGGTGCAAATGGAGAAAAAATTATTTGGGGGTGCACCTCCCTAGCAGGTAAGTTCCACCCAGCCAGGGTCCCACACAATTTATCCCTGTTCCTGCCTCCGGCACTGTCGCTTACCGCAGGGGCCTCGATCTAGCCCCTGCCCCTTCTTTCCCCAAGGACTGAACTGTTGGGCTGGGGCACGTGTGTGCATGCATGCATGCGGGCACCCAGCCTCCCACTTCAGCCTTGGATCAACTCCAAGATCTGGTCCAGACTGTGCATGGGGGATGGGGCCTGGTTGCAGGCCTCCGTGCTGTCCTATCCCACCCTGCTCTGCCCTCAGAGCCCCTGGAAACTGTGGGGTCAGCTGTGCGCGTGTGGCCATGTGGAGAGGGGGTGTGGAGACACAGGCTGCGGGGTGGGGGCTGCCTAGCTATATTCCTGCTGCTGAGCTGGGTAGGAGTGGGGGAGATTAATCAGTGGATCTACTGCTGCTGCTGTTGCTTGCTGGGCACCTACCTCCAGCGAGGCAGGAGAGGCGGCTACTGCGGACCAAGCTGTACAGCACTGAAGAAGGGAGAGAGTTGGTGGTGGTGGCTGGAGAGGGGTTGCGCAGGCTGCTACTGCTCCAAGCAGGTGGGAAGGAAATTGGCAGATCCCCTGGTGCCAGCAGCATGCCCCTTCCCCTGGCAGGACAGGAGGATGCCTGAGCTACAATCCTGTTAAGGGAGAAAAGGAGGGAGGCAGGCAGCAGTGCGGAGGGTGCCCGTCTCGGATTTACCTAAAATTAGTATGGCTACCCTACTTAGACCCTTTAGGTCTAAAATCCTGCCAGAGAAGACAGCCTAGCCAGGCCTTTTGGTGGTTCCAGGATGTGGTGTTGCAGCTGTAAGATGCGAAGGCCCGAGGTCATGGCTGCCCGAGTCTTCCCATGGCTGGGCAGGGACCTCTATCAGGCACAGCCATATCTTTTAATTTGCGGGCCACTGTCACCCCTCAGCCTATAGCACATGTGGAGTCAGAGGTGGAAGCCCTCTCTGTAGTTGGGGTGCTTGATGGCGCTGGCGTCACATACATTGCCTCTGTGACCGTTCAGTGCTGCTTGGCAGCCTTTTCCAGCCGCTGAGGCACCAGCTCGAGGAACAGCGGCCTTGTTTTCTCCCGCTGGCTTGCTGGGACACAAACACAGTGGAACTGGGCCACACTTGCTCTGCACCAAGGCCCTGGGGTCCTGTGCTATGTTCCCTCAGAGGAAAGCCCATTTCCATCCTCTTCCCTCAGATCCCAGGAGAGGTGGGGAGGCAGCTACAACCGCTCTGCTGGCATCAGGCTGTGCCTTGGACCCTCTTGTCTCCCACCAAGCAAACCAGGGCTCAGCTTTGCCAGTGCCCCCCTCCACACCAGAACATGGAGGAGCCCGGCTGGCAGCCAGCAAGGGGCAGCAGTGTGGCAGGAAAGCTGGTGCCAGCTGCTGGCCGGCTCTCCTCTGCCCAGCGAGGCGGTGGACCCCCACCCGCGGCCCCTTTTAAAGGCGAGCGCCTGGCCCCGCCTGCCCTGCACTTCCGAGCAGGCCTGGCGCGCGGAGGCGGCGGCGGCCGAGGGTAACCGGGGCGGGCTGCGGCGCGGG